TAGGAATGTAGATCTTCATAACGATCTGTCTCGAACCTATTTGCAAGTATACGAAGGCAACGTCAGAACACTTCTTCATGGCAGCAATGCGATATGACCAACCCTTCTCGTAGCTATTGTGCGGGTTCCAGTAACCTTTTTTTTATTATTGCTTAGATGGATGGACGAGCTCACAGCGCACCTGATGTTAAGTGGTTACTGGAGCCCATAGACATCTACAACGTAAATGCCCATCTTGAGATATGAGTTCTAAGGTCTTAAGTATAGTTACAGCGCCTGCCCCACCCTTCAAACCGAAACGCATTACTGCTTCACGGCAGAAATAGGCAAGGTGGTGGTACCTACCCGCGCGGCCTCACAAGAGTGTCCTACCACCAGTCATTACGCAAATCCTAATTTTGCGGGTTTGATTTTTATCACATGATGTTATTCCTTCACCATGGAAGTCAATCGTGAACAATTGTTGAGTACGTATTTCATTAGAAAAATTGGTACCCCCCGCCTGAGATTCGAACACCGGTGCATCGCTCAACACGTATGCACCGGACGCCTTATCCTTTAGGCCAGGACGACTTCAAACCACGACACTTCTTCTTAGCAGCAATGCGACATGATCAACCCTTCTCGTAATTGTTGTGAGGTATATTGGTTCCAGTAACTTCACATGAGCATCGCCTAGGGCTGATCCAATCGTCTAGTGCAATAAAAAATACTTTCATGTTCACTAACGTTTACCATAACTCACTCGAGTGGTTCCTTTTAAAAACTTCCTAAAATGAATTTTAAGTATTTTACGAAACCCTTCAAAATCTAAAAACTTATTCAACGTATTAATTAAAACTTCTCCCTTTATTTCTAACAAAGCCTTATTGAGGATCAACTTTGACAATGTCTCAAAACTGTGTGAACTTTTGTCTGAAGAACTTCGCTAAGCAATCGAAATTAATATTTACTGGATAAACTTGAGTTTGCAGGCGTCGTGTTTCTTTGTGATTCTTTGAGGTTGAAATTTCCGAAGTAACAAGAAACGTATCAAGGTTCCGTTCTGTTTATTCCGATGGTTTTATTCGGTAAATATCACTACATAGTATAAAACAAAGTTGCTTTCTCTGTCCCTATATCTGTCTGTCCTTATGTATGCTTAAATCTTTAAAACTACGCAACGGATTTTGATGCGGTTTTTTTTGATAGATAGAATGATTGAAGAGGAAGGTTTATATGCATAATAACATCCATTAAATAGTGGAGAAATCAATAATAAATCACAGTTTCCGAAGCGAAGCGAGGGCGGGTCGTTAGTCGGTTATAAAGAAAACATTCTCGAAACATTTCTCGAGACGGTAGCATTTATAATCGTGACTACTTAATTATTGTATTTAAATATGGTTTTCTGTTCATTTTAAAATAGAACAATACTCAGGTTTTTTCCTTTATATTATGGTCTTGGGGGCAATATTTTATAAAGTACCCTAGAATATATAAACAACCCCCTATGTTTGTACACTGTTTAACAAGTATTGTAGGGCGTTTTGTAGGTTTTACTTGAAAAATTAGAAGTCGTCGTGGCCTAACGGATAAGACGTCCGATGCATTCGTGTTGAGCGATGCACCGGTGTTCGAATCTCAGGCGGGTACCAATTTTTCTAATGAAATACGTATTCAACAAATGTTTACGATTGACTTCCACGGTGAAGGAATAACATCGTGTGATTAAAAATGAAACCCGCAAAATTATAATTTGCGTAATTACTGGTGGTAGGACCTCTTGTGAGTCCGTGCGAGTGGGTACCACCGCCGTGCCTATTTCTGAGGTGAAGCAGTAATGCGTTTCGGTTTGAAGGGTGGGGCAGCCGTTTTAACTATACTGAGACCTTAGAACTTATATCTCAAGGTGGGTGGCGCATTTACGTTGTGCATGTCTATGGGCTCCAGTAACCACTTAACACCAGGTGGGCTGTGAGCTCGTCCACCCATCTAAGCAATAAAAAAAAACAAGTTTCACTTTTCGTTTTAAATAAAGTTGTTTTGATTTTCATTACAATTGTCCGATTGCTGTTATTTATTTATTAACCACATTTTTTAAATAAGTTTCTATAAGACTTTTCCGCATCCGCTTTTCCACTTAAAAACTCTGATACACATCCCACATAGCCACATCCCGAGCGCTATGACATGTCGTTCTTCAAACGAGGCTTGTGGAGAGTATTAAGCGGTAGGCAGCGGCTTGGCTCTGCCCCTGGCATTGCTGAAGTCTATGGGCGACGGTGACCACTCACCATCAGGTGTGCTCGTCTGCCTACAAGGGCAATAAAAAAAAATACTAATAGGATTTGCGAAGTCGTCCATGATAAAATCCCCCTAAAAACCAATTACATTACGTAACCGTTTCTTTTAACGGTTTGCAGAAAAAAGTCTTATTACAATAATACTGCGATTTCTTGCTCATGTATCGCTTGTGCCGTGTTTTTGGACGCCCAACTGTCTGGATCTCAAAATTGGCTGGAACCCAGAACGTGTTACGACTCGCCGGAACTTGATTCCTTGCGACTGTAGATGTTTGTAAATAAATCTTTGAGTGCATTCGAATATTTTTCGAGCCCATAGTGGGAAAAAATTGAAGAAAAATAAAATAATATCTGAAATATCCTTTTTATTACGCACTAATAAAACCTGCTCTCCTTAAACCATATCGTTGGTTGCATTAAAGATAATTTTAGTATTTACTTCGGTTTTCGCGAGTCGTAAACAGAATTTAAACTACTTTTACGGATTAATCTCGCATTCTATAAGTGTCATTATATTATTTTGGGCGGTTCGTATACTTCACAGTTTTCGTGCTCACAGACGACTAAAGTGGTGGTAAAATTAGTTTTAATAACATCATTTTAATAACAACTATCCGAAATACGATGGTACGTTGACGATACTACGCTAAAACTGTCCCTGAAGTACAAATATGAATGGGGCAAATTTTCATCTTATTTGGATGAAAAACATGCGAGTGTCGAGCTCAAGAATAAACGAAAATTTTACATAAAATGTACTTAAAAATATAATTAAAATATCGTTCAAAATCTTCATAGCGTGAAACGAAACGCATACGCTCATTTTTTATATTATCTGAGAATTTTTTTACTCACTTACGACTTTGGCGCCGTTTTTTATAAAGTTTCAAATATTTAGTCTAATTATTATTGTCGAATTTCAAAATATATAACATCACTTCCACAAAACCGACTTATTTGATCATAACGGTTATTCGTAGCGTTTTTGCGTTTATTCATGTGTAAAAGATTTCAATTCAAAACCTTCAATAAAAAAATCAATTGTACAAAAAAAATCTGCCCATGCTGATAGCCTTGAGAGGCTATATCAGCTTCGCCTTGACGTGTAGGTGAACTCACGGGGCTCAAGCCGAGTGTGTTGCTAACACTGGCCCTAGCAAGAGCAGTGCTTCGTAGAATCAACCACCGGATCGGAAACGCGACCCACTGAGAAGATCCGGCGAGAAACTCAGTGGGCTACTACAAATTCAAATAAATAATGTTAGAATGTGTTTTTTTTGTGTAAGAAAAGTTTTTCTTTTATATCGACTCCGCAATTCAAATTTTACATTAAGCATCACAAAAATCTGTAGTTTTATTACCTATTGACTTTTTACAGATTTTTTTTTAAATCGGTTTTTCGGTGCTCTTAAATCTCGTCTCATTTGAGATTGGTGCATCGTGATCTGCGTTCGCAAAAATGAAAAAATCGACTTTCTAACATTTCACTGTGTTATAACAACAACGCAATATCTCGCGTGCTGTATTTTAACGTAACTGTGTTTTGAAACCGAGTCAGGGTATGTAACGCTGCTTCTTTTGCTGGTATAACACGCAATTAACTGGTTGGGTAAGATGATGTGGTCGGTGGCATTTGTGTCGGACAATTGCTGAAACCTTGGTTTTGTAGATCAACTCACCGTATCTAATTATCTGGCATTGTTTAATTGTATTCAATTAAGAATATTGTGGTGCGTATTTTTTCATTTAGTACCGTTGTTGGGCCCTTCGTTAAATGTATTGCAGGCAAACCTAATTTATATAACCGTGAACGTGAGTCAATACAAGAACGCTTCCGATCCAATTGTAGATTCATTCGCGAAGCAGCTGCTACTGAGTTGTTAGGTCTCCTTCGAAGGCGCTCGGGCAGCTGTTAGCTAATCCTACCCATACTGGGGTAGCCTTTGCTCGCCCACCTGTCCTGGTGAAACTGGAAAGGCCTCCGGGCCACCATTAATCCTTCAATAATAAAAAAATATATAAGAACATGTTTTTTTTCTTATTGCCCTTGTAGGCAGACGAGCATACGGCCCACCTGATGGTGAGTGGTTACCGTCGCTCATGGACTTCAGCTATGCCAGGGGTAGAGCCAAGCCGCTGCCAACCGAAATACCTACCTACCTACATGTTTCCGAAGTATTTATTATATAGCATATCAGTTGTCCCACGTTTTAAATTCAAATGCGAGGCAGTCTTCGTAGCAAAAATATATACTATAGAGGTATCTCCCCGGATCCATAATACGTTCTATCATCAGGAATTACCACCTTAAGATGCGCGATATTTCTTGACAGCTCCCGTTGAGAGCTTCACACCAAGCGAATATTAATTATTTTCATTTTAATTATTACATTTATAAAAATATTAATTGGTGTTAATATTTTCTGATAAAGATGATGACTCCGAGGAAAAAAAAAGACAAACATACGATATGTCATTCTATCATTAAGAATTGGATGTACTAAATACATTATATTTTCCCTCCGTTTTTGTCTCTACTAGCGACGGTAAACTTCGTACTGACTAAATTCGTCCTCGATTGCTTGCGCGTAGGTACGCTCTTTCTGGGCGAAACGGTCGCGCGTTATACGCACGAGAGAATCGCTTCGAATTCGCCCTTTCTGGACCAGGCCTTAGCCGCATCTATTAAAAATATAGAGAGCAAGCTATACTTACGGATCGTGTACTTCTTGTCTGTATGTCGCGAGGTTCTATTCGTCTGCGACGTTCTCCTCTTGCAACGCATAACGATACCTGCAAGAATAAAATATTATTTGAATTGAAAGTACATTCTGGAATGTTCGCGAATCATGTGAATAGCTGAAAATGTTTATACGTAATATGGCATCGATTTATAGTTTTGATACGCACCTGTTTTACGAAATGCTTTGTTATGCGGAGAGGTGGATGAGATTTGGGCGTAGCACCCCTTCTCTTGTCTCTGGGTGTCGTAACAGCTGAGTGTTTCAGCGAATTTTTTTTTTTTTTACCTATGCTGATAGCCTTGAGAGGCTATTTCAGCTTCACCCTAACGATTGTAGGTGAGCTCACGGGGCTCAAACCGGAGAGTTGGTAACACTGACCCTAGCAAGAGCAGTGCTTCGCAGAATCTACCATCGGATCGGAAACGGGACCCACTGACAAGATCCGGCGAGAAACTCAGTGGGCTGTGTCTATGGGTTAGTTCGCTCGTCGAGCCCTTCGTCGCAAGCGACGGGTTCGACGAGAACGGTGACCGCTTGAAATACATCAGAATCAAAACGCTTAATGTTCATTTAAGCAGACCTTCACTGGTGCTTTTGAACCGTACTGTACCACCGATTCAGAATGCAGTTTCACCATTGAGAAGGATCCGCATGAAAATCAGGGCTGGCACTTTTCCAGATATTATTATTACGTGTTTTACTAGTGATAGAGCGTATTGTACTTGTAATAGACGCCTGTTTTGCTTAGTTCAATTCCTTATTTTATGTACCGTTAAATCGGTCACAACGTTACCCATTTAAACTCATTTTGAACACAGCGTGAGTGCCGCTGCCTTCCTTGAAAATTGAGGTTTTAGTCTCAATAGAATATGTCACCTGTATTATTTAATAAAATAACAACTGAAAATTTAATATTCAACAAATAAACTAAATAAATAAAATCGATGATTATTTTAGGAAAAAAATATTTAAACGTTTTGATAATATTTTAAAGTTCAAATTATAATTGTAATTAATTTAGATTTCAATTTCAAAAGAAGTTTTGAAATGAACTTCTTGTCATAGAAATTGAAATTAATAATCCTTTTTGATTAAAAATTTTGATTCAGCCGATCGACATGAGTGCAAGTAAAAAAATGTCAATTTTAACAATAGCGTCCTAAAATGATAAATGTTTTCGCGTTAAAAATTGCGGGTACACCTCATCTCTCACGTAAAAATACTCTCAAATAGCCGTCAGCTTCGATAAATCTATTTTAAGTTTCGTAGATTAATGCCTACAACCTTTTCTTCAAGGCTTTTTCTTATCGTGGCGCTAGTAAAGGGTGAAAGCAAGGACGGTGTCGCGCATTCTAGTGTTTGAAATGCTCTTGCTATTTGACTATTACTACTTACTATGAAAAGGTTTATAACAGTTTTTATCTTACAGATTGCAAGGTCATCTTTAAGTCCTTAAAAATGTGGCATAACAAAGATTCCTTGAACGCTAGTTATTTTTACGTAAATTTCAATTTAGAACAGTCCATTTTTATACTATAGCCTATTTTTATTTAATAGTATATATTTTATACAATAGGCCTGAAAAGAACTAGAATCTACATAACTGCTCAAGAGTAGTTATTTAGCCACAAGTGGCGTGTGTCGCTAGAGTGTAAAAATGCACATTATGGAACAGTAAAAATGTCGCTATTATTAACAACTAGCGACCCGCCCTCGCTTCGCTTCGGAAATATTAAAACACACATGAAACCAAAAAAATAAAAATAAAAAAAAAATAAAAAAAAGTAGCCTATGTTCATCAGGGACAATGTCGGCTTTTAATGGAAAAAGAATTTTTCAAATCGGTCCAGCAATTTCGGAGCCTATTCGAAACAAACAAACAAACAAATCTTTCCTCCTTATAATATTAGTATAGATATAAACTAGCTAACCCGGCAGACTTCGTAGTGCCTCAATCGATAAATAAAAGAACGAAACTTTTGTATAAAATAAACTTAACAAAAAACAAAAAGAATCCGTCCGACCGGGGGGGACACATCAAAGGAAAAAACAAAATTGTTTTATTTTATATAATTCCGATCATTTTCATATTTTTTCATATTTTAAAAATATGCCAAATCGGTCCAGCCGTTCGCAAGTTTTAGCGAGATTAACGAACAGCAATTCATATTTATATACATAAAAGAAGATGTTTAGATTATCACGGAAATAACATCGAATCGACGTATCCGTTGTGACAGCTCATGGCTTCGCGAATACTTTTTTCTGGCAGGGGGCCGAACCTTATGCAAGGAGTATAATAATATAGAACTTAACGATCTGCAGATGTTAGGAGCAGACTGTCACTAATACATTAAGATTATCTATACAATTTTTTTATAGACATAAAATAGACGCTTTTGAAACTTTGTTGGCACACGTTGAGCAGATGAACTGAAGTAGTTTCTAGAGCTCAGAGACGTTACAATGCAAATTCAACTGTCCACGACGTAATATTAAAGTCTCATTTATATTGGCACATCTGTTAAAACTTTAAATGAGAACGCACATGAGAAATTTACTTCACGAAATATTTAGAATTTGGTACCCGTTTTTCTAAGCATTTTTTTTTCTACCTAAGCTGATAGCCTTGAGAGGCTATATCAGCGTAACCTTAACTAGCAGGTGAGCTCACGGGGCTCAAATCTGACGACGTTGCTAACACGAACCCTAGCAAGAGCCGTGCTTCGCAGAATCTACCACCGGATCGAAAGCGCGTCCCACTGAGAAGATCCGGTGAGAATCTTAGTGGGCTGTGTCTGAGGGTTAATTTACTCGTCGAGCCCTTCGTTGCAAACGGCGGGTTCGACGAGAACGATGACCGGTGCTTGAGGCACCTAGAAGCACCGTTAGTGAATCGGAAGGATCCGATATGACGTGTCTGGGGCGACGTCGACTGCTTTCCATTCTGTCCACACAATCGGGAATGTAGTTACCGGCGGCCACGATGAGAGGGTTCTCGTGTCGTGCCGCTTTATCGAAGTGGTACTAAGCATACAATACGCTCTATAAAAGGAACTAGGGGTTTACGAATTAGAGCAATAGCTTCTCGTTACTATGGACGTAAAATATGAAAGTAGTCGAGTCGCAGATTGATCAGGCCGAGGTCATAGGTTTTCTGATTATATTGTATAGACGATTATCATTATTATCTCCTGATTTTATTATTGTATGCGCCTTTGGACCTCATTGCGAGGGTCCAGCTTTATGCTTCCTTCTGATTTGCTTTATATCGCGCTCGATACTTCATTGTACGAGGCATTACGCGTCGTCGAAAATTAAGGATAATGTTGCGGTATACGACTCCTGGAAAATGACTATCACTCTTTTCATATTTATTATAAATACCGCAGAGTCCACTGTGCTCTGGGTATCTTTCTTTCTTCCTACCCTTTCTTCCTATCAGTGGGAAGCTCGACAGTGACACATTTTAGCAGCAAAGCGCTTTAATAAGCTAAGTAAACTTCCATTTGAATTCAATGACTTTTCATTACTATACCTAATATATTATACCTAAAGGATTTGAAGAATGCATTCCTAAATAATATATCACGAAATTTTAGATTATATTAGCATATTTTAAAATAGTATTAAATGATATTATAACAACTAAATGTCTTTACTCAACTCTTTATTACATACAAAACTTACCTTTCGCAGTCAACGAAGTTTTTTCAACTATTAGTAACACAACCTAGTAATAAAAAATTACACAATCAAACTTAAACTCGTAAGCTACGCGGAAGATAATATTACATCAATACAATAACACTTAAACATCAACAATATCAAAAAAATTCACGCCAAATGAAACGCGCGGGCATTTTGTTGAGCTACTTTCGTTTTCGCGTGTGTTTTGACACGAATATAACGCAATCGTAAAATTCACGATATTCTACAAGTATTTTAATTTAATATAAGCTCGATTTCATTCATGATATTGTCGAAAATTTATTGAAAAATTTTAATCGAGAGCGCTCAACAATTTGCGGTCATGATTTTGACATTTGTTTCAGTGTTACCATACCTATTATTTTTACAGTTGAAGATTAAAGTTCCCAGAAATGAATCAAATTTTTTTGAAGATATTTTACTAGTAAATAAGTTGTGCTTTGACTTTGAATATCTTGTCTTATTTGAAGAAGTAATTAATTTGAGAAAAAAAGTACATTTGTTGTTTTGCTAAATGAAACATTAATTACAAGTAATTTCATTCCATAATTAAAGTTTCATTGACCAATTATGAGGTACGTTTTTTTAAAACGTGTTTTTTTAAACTACAGATTTTACCAATATCCATGTAAATTTTCTCATTAAAGTATGGCAGCACCGTGACCTACGCTTGCGCGGGAAAGGCTCGGTTCGCGGCAGATGTTAGCGCGAGTTTTCGTAGTTTTATTGATCTGCCTGTAAGACGTAATGTGAGTCTCATTGCCTGTCATAGATCGCACACACATGAGCGGAGGTGCTCTGTTCGTTGACCTCTTAAGAAACTGGCACGACCTATTGTGCCAGTATTTTTTTAAAACGAATTTATTTAAAAAACCATGAATTGATAAATCGCACATTATGCGGTAGGCAGCGGCTTGGCTCTGCCCCTGGCATTGCTGAAGTCCATGGGCGACGGTGACCACTCACCATCAGGTGGGCCGTATGCTCGTCTGCCTACAAGAGCAATAAAAAAAAAAAAAAAAAAAACATTAAATCCATTAACTAGCGTGGTAAATAAATGTTGTAGTTTACATTAAAAGATTATTGCTTATTGGTTACAAATTTGTTGAGATAAGGATTTTAAATCTACAGAAGATTGAACTATAAAATTGTGTCAACGAACTGATATAATTTCAATCAATCAAACAGTCTAATTTTACGACTTAATTGTTCAATACAAATAAATGTTATCTATATCTATACTTCTATACTAATATTATAAAGAGGAAAGATTTGTTTGTTTGTTTGTTTCGAATAGGCTCCGAAACTGCTGGACCGATTTGAAAAATTCTTTTTCCATTAGAAGCCGACATTGTCCCTGATGAACATAGGCTACTTTATTTATTTATTTTTTATTTTTATTTTTTGGTTTCATGTGTGTTTTAATGTTTCCGAAGCGAAGCGAGGGCGGGTCGCTAGTGTTAAATATTAACGCGAGTACCAAAAACATCCGATATATATTTCTATACATATATAATATGCCGGTATTTAGAGATAAAATTCTTCAGACAGCCTTCGATATTAATAGGTCGCCTATTTATACGACGTGCTGGTTAATTCCGACCTCGTTAGCACGATCCTATCCACGAGAAGAGCCTCCAATTAATCCTTTTATGCTCCCCAGATTAATGAGGCGTCTAACTTTGAGGAACTGTATACTTAAGTATAGTGCTATTTTATAGTTTACGATATTTTAAACTTTAAAGACGAGTGTTCGTATAGTGTAAATGTTTTTAGAAAAATTGGATGCTTAAGACTAATTTGACTAATTTATAAGTCCTCGCAATATAAGATCTTGTGAGTCCGCACGGGTAGGTACCACCGCCCCGCCTATTTCTGCCGTGAAGCAGTAATGCGTTTCGGTTTGAAGGGTGGAGCAGCCGTTGTAACTATACTGAGACCTTAGAACTTATATCTCAAGGTGGGTGGCGCATTTACTTTGTAGATGTCTATGGGCTCCAGTAACCGCTTAACACCAGGTGGGCTGTGAGCTCGTCCAACCATCTAAGCAATAAAAAAAAGGTCCCGTTTTCCTGAGTGAAGTCACGGCTGCGTATTCGTGTTTTTTTTTTTAATTTGTATTAAATTTTTAATGTGAGAGTTTTTCGAGCGACTTTTGATCTGATTTAGAAACTTAATAGTTATATTATTTTTTTGATGAATGTTTTGTTAAGGTCATATATTATTTAACAAATACACAACAAATAAATAAATAATCGGAGACAATTTACTTAACACGATTACAAATTAGGATTCCCTGTATTGTAAAAACCAGAAACTAAATTAAAAAAAATATAACTGTTTATGAAATACCCATCCACCATCGTATTAGACGTAAGAATGTGAGCCCAAAATGTGAATAAAAATGTACAACCCTCGACTAAGTAGAGTAACGTTTTTTTGTCTACCTAAGCTGATGGTCTAGAGAGACTATATCAGCGTAACCATAACTAGCAGGTGAGCTCAGGGGCTCAAACCTGACGATGTTGCTAATACGAATCCCAGCAAGAGCCGTGCTTCGCAGAATCTACCACCGGATCGGAAACGCGATCCAAGGAGAAGATCCGGCGAGAAACTCAGTGGGCTGTGTCTGTGGGTTAATTTACTCGCCGACTTTTACTTTTACTTACATCGCAAGCAACGGGATAGAGTAACGTTAATGACTGCACCGCCGGGTCAGTCAATGATTGTGTAGATGACATTTATTTCATTTCAGATGAAACAATGAAACAGGGGAATTACTTTATTATGTTAACGTGGAAGAAATCAAAGTGCCGAATTTTTATAAATTGCCTTTGTAGACGAGAACATATGACCTACCTAATAAGACCCTTCTTCTTCTTGCCCTTATCCCACATAATCCATAAGTCGGCAAACACATCCTCTTATCATGTTCCATATGGATTTAGCATGAGTTTTACGATTTACCTGCTGGAGGTCAACCCTCCTTGGGTTATATCTCCATGTATCTGTAACGTACCATACTTTTGGTGTTTCTTTATCATCATCCGTATTTGGTTCTATGTCTAGTATTTTTACACGACCCGATACGACTAATCGGTAAGTAATCACCATCAGTCATATCGGATATCGCTAAAGCTTATTGTAATATGTGAGATAATGAATGAAATGTATATATTTACAACAAAATACATATAAGGTAATTTGTAAAAAAAAAAAATCGTATCTGTATAATTGTTTGATTTTCAAAGCGGATAAGGAATTGTTAGGCCCTGAATATAAATGGTATTGAGAGATCAAACTATTTTGATTTAGTGCTTCTATCAGTAAACGCATATAATCTTGTATCAAAACCCGTCATTTGGTTATATAGTCTAAACTTCCAATAATAAAAGTAGTTTGAAAACAAACATACAAACATACGTTTAAATAGCAAACCGGACTAACAATTAATATAATATTTTTTATCCTGTTGATACTGGTCAGGATATTCAAAGCTATTAAATTATTGTATTATCATCGTTCATTAATGCGTGTGAAAATTTTCAAACAGACTTCTTAAAGCCGTTGAAAATGACATTCAAAGATCCCGTTAGATAAATACGAAAATACATACCTAACAAGCTATTAAAAACATGTTAAAAATACTAGTCTAAGTTAGCGACTTAGCATTTAACTCTACGTCTTAATACTATACGATATCGTTCCCTCACTGCCGAGGATCCCGACCATATGTGACTTTCGATCATGGGTGGCATGGACTGCATGGTACAGACTACCACCAAGTGCTTCCTTTACTAGATCTGACTATCTGACTGGTGTTCTGCCCACGGCGCGCTTGCCGTCTATGCCACCCGAAATTATGAGCTTCTCTTCTAATTCTTGTCTGGGAGACCGCATGACGTGTCCGAAGAAGCTCATAACACGTTCCCGGCAGATGGAAGAGAGCCTTTTTCGGAAATTCCCTTAGAATGGACTCATTAGTTCTCATTCATACTTTTTTTTATTACTTAGATGTGTGGACTACCTCATGACCAGTGCCCATTAGAGCCCAAAGACATTAACAACGCAAATGCCTTGAGGTGTGAGTTCTAAGTCTGTTTTTATAGTAGAACGGCTGCACGCCCCTTCAAGTCGAAACGCAAGGCTGCTTCTCTGCAGAAATAGGCAGGGTGATGGCGGATACTCGAGCAAGCTTCCAAGACGTCATGTTATCAGTAAAGTGATAGTTCCCGAACACCTTTTGATTTGTCCGTTGGGAGGGTTATGCCAGTAGTCACCACGCTTGGCAGACGGGTTGGTGATCGCAGTACTATGTCCTTTCCTCAGGGCATGCTGCTGCCCATGTACTGATGGGTTTTTATTTAAAGACATAGCTATTATGGATGGTTATACCGCCATCGGTCGGTCGCCAGGGCCTCGGCCGTTAGCTAGCAGGGTGCAGCACGGGCCTTGAGATCGTCTATTTCCATGATTCCATTGCCATCCCTACACCCCAATCTGGGAAAGATTGAATGCGGAAGGCGATGGATCACGTTCATTGTGGCGGACGATGGGAGAGACCTATATCCAGCAGTGGAGAGATACAGGCTGATGATGACTTATTGATTAATTAAGGTCCGTCGTATTCCTTCTTTTGTTTTTATTATTTCATGCAACTCTAGAAAACCATTTTAATAGACAGTTACGTAATAATAACTGTTATGTTGCAAACTAGAACAAATTTATATCACGGAGCAATCGATTTGTTTAATTCGATTTTCTACGATGCTAAAACGAATTTTAAAATCATTTGTATTAAGTTTTGAAGTTATACTAACAAGCATTAAGAACTTTTTAAAACGAATGTAATTTTTTTTTTATTCACCTATATAAAATGAGCCCGTAGGTAGACCAGCGGTTCCTAAACTTATTTAGTTTACTGCACACTTTGAGAATAAATCATTATTTAGCGCCCCCATTTTTACACCTACTTAAAAACCACTATAGCGAGAGCTCAGTCGACGTCTAAGGTCCTCCTAGATTAAATTACAAAACGCCCCCCTTTAGGCCTGCAGCACCCACAAGGAGTCGTTATCGCCCACTTTGGAAAAGGCTGCCGTAGACTAATGGGTGGGTACGTACCACAATCTTCATCCATATAAAAGCAGATTAGATCTCCAGCTTCAATTTATTGTTTTTTTTTTCAATGCTTTCATAGGCAGGCGATCATATGATTCATCTGATGGTGAGTGGTAGCCGTCTATCGTGGCAATGACAGCAAAGAGTTAAGCCACTGCTTACCGTAGAGTACTCTTGCAGAGTAATCAAACCTCGTTTGAAGCAAGATATATCATTGCGCTCAGAAAAAATCGTCGTGGGAAAGTAAGTCGATTCCAAACCTGAATGGTGTGTGTCGAGAAAAATCTGGAAACTCACACCAACATCTACAAAAATAAGACTATTTCAATGCATGACCGCAGAATCCATACTGTGGTCGGAATGTACGTAAAATGAATTAAATAAACCCAAGAATACTTTTAAACTGTTTTTAATTATCTCTATCGCGTTAAACTCGGAAAAAACTATGCGTAATATCTATTCCGTTCGTTTATTGCCTATGTGGGTGATTGAGCACACGGCCCAACTACTGTGATGTGGTTATCGGAGCCCATGGTCATCACAGCGTAATTTTATTTTTATTGCTTAGGTTGGTGGACGAGCTCACAGCCCACCTGGTGTTAAGTGGTTACTGGAGCCCATAGACATCTACGACGTAAATGCGCCACCCACCTTGAGATATAAATTCTAAGGTCTCAGTACTGCCCCACCGTTCAAACCGAAACGCATTACTGTTTTACTTCAGAAATAGGCAGGGCGGTGGTACCTCCTGCAGACCTTCCACAGGTACCTCCCGAAACAGCCATGTCCCGAGAGGACCTAGATTCCCCAGCGTTAAAAAAATAAATAAATAAAAAAAAATTTAAAAAAAATACAAAAAAGGGCGTTGGTACCTACCCGTGCGTTACACAAGAGGTTCTACCACCAGTAAAGATGCCGCCACCCACCTTGAGACAAGACAAATACACTTCACATCTTTTATATTACACAATTATTAATTAACGATCATCTGTCCTACGTCATTTGGTTTGTTTAATTTCGTATGTAAACTTCTTGTGAAACTGCTGAGTAAATATCGCATTAATTAACAAAATATACTTAAATAAATTCACAGCATTGGTAAATACTCTTCAGTAGGCAGTCACTTGGCTCTGCTCTTGGCTGTCTGATAAGACACAATCAGAAGGGTCAGAACCGTTATCATCCCTATCAGAAACGTGGTCCAGCTTCGCAAGCAAAAAAAAAATTCAATTGTTTTTCATTTACGCTGTAATGAAAGTTATTAGGAGTCGCAGTAAGGATTTTTTGCAACCCACATTAGTGTAGTTTTTCACACGATCATTTTAGTAATTTAAACATTTTTTATTACTGGTGGTAGGACCTCTTGTGAGTCCGCACGGGTAGGTACCACCGCCCCGCCTATTTCTGCCGTGAAGCAGTAATGCGTTTCGGTTTGAATTATAGGGCAGCCGTTGTGACTATACTGAGACCTTAGAACTATATCTCAAGGTGTGCGGCGCATTTACGTTGTAGATGTCTATGGGCTCAAGTAACCACTTAACACCAGGTGGGCTGTGAGCTCGAACACATCTAAGCAATAAAAAAAAACTTACGTATACTCGTAGTTAAAAAAATAAACAATCTTACATCACGAGTTCTTCTTCTGTAAAATCATTGCTTACAGCTGGAAAGGTAGGATGGTTTTTTTACACTATATTTCATTTGATTCGAATTGTATTCTACGTAATTTTTTTTTTTCAGGGATTTTATGATCTTCTAACTAAGACCATTACGTCAAGTCTTATTTTAATTTTAATTAAAACTGCACTATTACTTCATTTAAATATTAAATTGTTTTTATACTGTTTTTAATATAAGTTTATAAGTATTTATGTCTTTTAATAACTCTGCAAGTAGCGGGGGGCGGGATGAAGAATCAGACTTAATTTTCACATCACTGAGTTCACTAGCCAATACTAAACTGTCAAGCAAGAAGTTTTGACAGTCAAAACTAAGATGCTCCATGATGCCTTCTTTTTTTATGATTGAAAGATTACTGGTGGCCCGGAGGCCTTTTCAGTTTCACCAGGACAGGTGGGCGAGCAAAGGCTCAGCCAGGAGGGTCATGGGATTTGCTAACAGCTACCTGAGCGCCTCCGAAGGAGACCTAACAGCTCAAGAGTAGCTGCTTCGCGAATGAATCTACTACCGGATCGGAATCGCGACCCGCTGAGAAGATCCGGCGAGAAACTCAGCGGGCTGATGCATGGGTTAGGTTGCACGTCGACCTCTTTGTCGAGTTCGACGAGTACGGTTACCGAGGTCCCTAAGCCTGCTCCTAGTGTTAGAGCTGAAGGCGTCTAATGCAAAGGTTATTGGATCTGATGGATCCGTAAGGACGTGTCTAGGGCATGATGCCTTCTTTGGATTCACAGTGTGTACATTGTTTGTAATACTCGTAATGCCAAGTCTAGCAAGGTGCGACGGCGAAACATAAATAATACTCCCGAACCTCGCATAAATAACAAGAACAGTTTAAATAACGACAAAGGTTGGAAACTTTTAAAGATTCAAATAAATGTGGTGTGTTTCCAGAGGTCTTTTTTGCCACATACCATCCGATTATGGAACGAGCTCTCCTCCACAGTGTTTCCCGAGCGCTATGACATGTCCTTCTTCAAACCAGGCCTGTGGATAGTATTAAGCGGTAAGCAGTGGCTTGGCTCTGCCCCTGGCATTGCTAAAGTCCATGGGCGATGGTAACCACTCACCATCAGGTGGGCCTTATGCTCGTCTGCCTACAATGGGAATAAAAAAAAGATGTGGTGTCGTGGGACACCGGATAGGAACGAAGTTCTTTATTATAAAAATATTAATTTTAAGTTCTATTCAAGGTATAAAGAAAAGAATTATTCGGGTATACATTTTTTATTAAGATTTTTTTATTGATAAAAATAAAAATAATTAAATGATGTCAGAGAAATCAAATATTGTTATTTTAAACAAAATTTAATTATACTCAATAATCTCATAAATAGAAAAAAAAACAATAATAATAAAAAATACATTTATTTATAAATTTTCTATTATAATTATTAAAATAATAATAACCGTCATCGCGTAGACTATACATTAGACACTGTATAGCCATCATACTAAGACTATACATAAATAATAAAAATCTTACGTTACGGACGTTTTTTCCCGGTTAGGGTACCCCTCCGCATCGTCCCATAAGGAACTTCGTTCCAACAATAAAAACCAATGTTTGAGAGACAACCCGAATGTTTATTGATTACACAGTCTGCTACAGTATTGCGTGTAGGGTCAAGGTGACGCAAGCGGGAAGACAGATCGACGCCGTCGCAGCTGACTCAAATCTCAAACCGTAGTCAGTTCGGCTCAAACGCAGATTCGTAAGGACGTGAATATAAGCAACAGGTATGTCGCATAATGTGTTTTCGAATTTGAATTTTTTTGTTTTCTCGTTCTTCGTTTTTGATCAATTATGTATAGATTTAATGAAAAACGACTGAAGCCAATTAAAAAGTTTTAGTTTATCTGTAACATTATTTTTTTGGTATTAAATTTTAACTTAGTGTGTGACGAATAAATGCAGGAATATTTTTTCGTTAATTTTTTGTTCGGTAATAGATTTCTTGAAATATTCTAGTATGAAAACGTCGGCTAAGATTAGTGTAAAAAACGTGTTTAAAGTTCCATACTCTTTTATTTTTTCAGACAATAAACATTATTACCTGCTTAAAACTTTCATCAAATTAATAGAATTGTTCAGTTTAATTTATTTTTTGTTTATTAGTCCTGGCTTAGAATATGTGACAGTAATTTTTATCGCGTCTCAAATTTCTAAGTAATTTAGTGTTAAAATAACGTCCATAAATCTATCTTTGTCGTCTACGATTTACTTATCCCTACGATTTACATTTTCCGGGTTTTGTGAGGCGTCAACATAATTAAAATTACTGTTATCTTTTAAAGTAAGTCTCCCCTTCTGTGATGACCGTAAAAATTGTAAAATATTCAAACGTCTCAAATAATAAAAAGAAATAATAAACAAAAGAAAACGCGAGATTAAGCCCTCGTAAGTAATTTTATGAAATAATTTATAATGTGATAAATTTTTTTTTGTGTTTACTAGTTTCGCGGGTCATTTTACCGAGTGGCTTAAAACAATATACAGTTTGTCTTCAATCGATATTAATCTATTTTTTTAAATTCAATAACACAAATTTTATCAAAGATATTTGTTAAAAATTTGTATTGAAACTAAATTCGCCTCCAAAACCACAAAAATTGAAGTTATAAACAAAACCTGAAAATTCCACAATCAAATTCTACGCTAACCCAATTAGTCGATCATCAGGCATACACAATCGCTAAAACTGCATATAACATGTTAATTGTTAAATAATCACGTGTGAAACAATTTCTACAGATACTCTGTGTTACTAATGTGTGAGTGAAAATGCCATATGAAAGGGAATACTTGTATCGTGTACACAATTATCTACTATTTCATATGTTTATGAGTAAAAGTGAATCTAATTTCAAGTTTTAAGTGAAATATTATTCAATGGTTTTGCTTAGAAAACTATAGGTACTTAAAAATAGGAGAAACCTTCTGTATGTATTTTTTACATTGGACAACCATTATATTGAGATTTTGACAGTACGTCCAGTTAAAATAGGCAAAGGCATTAACGTTGTAATATTTATGAGCGCTAGAAACCTCCTTTTCACTGTTACTGAATTTAAAAGGGAGCAGTGATAAATAGAAGTAGATCATATGTATATCAACAAGTAAAAAGGTTTAAAATATACTGTCTTGAAATCGAATCAAAACTTTTTTTTATAATCGAAGGTTTACTGGCGGCCCTGAGGCTTTTCCAGTTTCACCAGGACAGGTGGGGGAATTAAAAGTATTAAACTTATTAATAATTAATGTGCGTAAACAAATAATACAAAAATAAAAATAGTTGAACAGCCTAGGTACCAGTGTTGTCTGTTAACTGTTCTTCTCTGGAGGCGCCGGAGTCCGACATAACTCGGTCTCTTACCCCCCTCGACCGGGTATCCGTAAATGGATTCCCCAGTGTTAAAAAAAAAAAGGTACCAGTGTTGTCTCATTTTCTAGAAACTCACTGAGTTTTTCGCTGGGTTTTTCAGTATATCGCGATTCCGATGCCGTGGTAAAGTACTACGAACGAAGTACTACTCTTGGTAGGGCCAGTGTTACCAAATTTACTTAGCTTGAGCCCGTGAGCTCACCTACCAGCGAGCGTGCTCTACTTAGTCTACCAGAGATTAGGTAGAGAAAGTTTTTTTTCTTGCATTGTCAAAAGCTCCTCACTTATATCGACTAATTCTTGTTTTGAAACAAAAAACTAAGAATATCTTATTGGGAACTTGGCTTTAAATGAATTAAGTAATACCAACAAATTTCGATAATTTTTTTGTTACCTTTTTTTTATTGCTTAAATGGGTGGACGAGCTCACAGCCCACCTGGTGTTAAGTGGTTACTGGAGCCCATAGACATCTACAGCGTAAATGCCACCACATACCTTGAGATATAAGTTCTAAGGTCTCAGTATAGTTACAACGGCTGTCCCACCCTTCAAACCGAAACGCATTACTGCTTCACGGCAGAAATAGGCGGGGCGGTGGTACCTACTCGTGCGGACTCACAAGAGGACCTACCACCAGTATATGTACAGTTTTTTTTACGTTAGCTCTATGTACTTAAATAGTTTTATTTTGCATTCAGGGCACAATTTCAACCCTTATGATTCGGTTAGTCCCAGGGTTCAGTGTTATCTTGGGGCTTTACATTCGTCTTTGTAGGTACGGTTAAAATTAAATCATGCCCGACAGCCATTTGGGTTGATTTGTCGTAAAAGGAAAGAAAAACCTTTGAGAAATCTGTTATTCAGAAAGCGTTGATGGTACCCCAGACGGTTACACTGTAGGAAAAGTGAATATTTTGTGAAGCGTTTCGCTTCCATTTACTGTTTTGGAAGTATGTATACAAGAATCATATATCGTCTTCTCGTGTTAAAACTGTATAATCTCAAAACTTACAAATTTTACAGGAGAGAGTTTTAAAGGTTTAACATTTGTGATATTTTAAATATTAATCATCTTTGCAACATTTATTTTTTATTTTTTAACAGTTACATTATCTGTCTTTTAAATTAAGATAAAATTATGTATTAATTTTGTTAATAGTAGTCAAAACATAGGTAAACTGAAAAAAAATCTAAAACTAAACTATGCTCTTTTGACAGTATTTATGAGAAAAATACTGGTGATACCAAATGATTCCGCATATTAATTCAATTTCGAATATTTTAGGAAATGAAAAGACTGATGAAAAATGAATTTTAACTGTAATGTATGTGAATAATTGTAATTTTTTCTCTCTCCCGTCTATTTACAAAATTATGTTAATATTAAGTAATTTCATCTTTTTCGTTTTTATGTTACGCTAATTAAGGTAGATAAAAAATCTTTCTGTCAGCGAATCGACCACGTAAATCCTTATTTAGGATCTCGAGCTTATTTACAAAAGGTGCAGGCATTGCGCATTTCTCTAATCTCCTAAGCGATTATTTCTTGTTTCATCTAGACGCTTATGAATCAATACTTTAATATGCGACAATCACAATTTGATTTATCATCGTTGGAAACAATTCTTGTTTATAAATTTAAATGTAGGAAACGACGCAATAAGGCAAGTCGGCCTTCCTTGCCCACAAAAGTACAGCCTCAGACTTAAAGATTGGGCACACTACTGTTTCTATACAATCTTTCATTGCTCCAGTAAAGGGAAACAGATGGGACCGTCAGCTTTCTCTTTCTCTCGCTCTCTCTTGCTCTATCTCTCTCTCGCTCTCTCTCTCTCCCGCGCTCTGTCTCTCTCTCTCTCTCGCTTTCTCTCTTTCTCTCTCTCTCTCTCTCGCTCTCTCCACCTGTGTAGGTTTCTTCATATGCACTACATTCTTTTCGGTTTCTTTAGGCATAGATAATACCAGACGCATAGTTACGCGGTAAGCTATCTTAAGAAAACGAGAGTAAATACTTTTTATTTTATTATAAACATTTAATTTTAACATAATGCTCAAAGAATCTGAATTTCGAGTTGTTTTGAACAAATAAATCTATTTTTAAATTAAATATTTGTACCGTAGTAAATTCTTTATTTTAACATTTGTCGTCATTGCGATATTAATTCCTTAATATTACTGAACGTTCTGGATAGGTTAAAAAACGTTATTTCCAGAGTTCTAATTGCTTGAATTACATAAATCTTAAAACAACTTCGAATTGGTTTCACATTTCAATGTTGTTAACAAATCTTTAAAACGTTATATTAGAACACACTATTAAGTTTGCGATATTAATTTTCTAAATCCGCATTTAAATAGCTTGACTTTTGAACCGAACGCTATTGATAAATAGCATTTAAATATATATTAGTTTGATGTAGGTTAATGTTTTAGTGCGCGATAAAATAACTGTGTCTCTTGGTCTTGATTGGACTTTATAATCGTTTCGCGAATTCGATTTTTATTAAATTTATTAGTGTTGCGAAACCAAATAATTGGCTATGCTATGAAATGTTAACTTTTTTATTTATTGCTTAGTTGGGTGGACGAGCTCACAGGCCACCTGGTGTTAAGTGGTTACTGGAGCCCATAAACATCTACAAGGTAAATGTGCCACCCACCTTGAGATATGAGTTCTAAGGTCTCAGTTACAACGGCTGTCCCACCCTTCAAACCGAAATGCATTACAGCTTCACGGCAGAAATAGGCAGGGCTGACTGACATATTTTATCTATATCTGTTGAATACTTTTTTTGGTATTGGTAGGCAAAGTAATTCATACTAGTACTGTCCATCACATTCAACTCTAATTCACCTACTACTACAACAGTCTTTACACATCTTGAAATAACGTTCAAATTTCAATACTTTGTCTCTAAATTGGAACGAATTATTGTTTCTTGAAAGAGATGAGTTGAAATCGACTTTTACTTTAACTTTATATTAATTTTTTTTAAATAACCGTGCATAAGACTAAATGTTAACAAAAAATATTTTAATGAATTCTATTTTCGAAACTTTTTTTCACCTTTCGCCTCAAATCTAGATTCAATATAGTATATCAATCGTATACGAGTCACTCAGATATCAAGCTGTACGTGTTTTTGCATCATTTGAATTTAACCTTCATTAAGTTGAATATTATAATATGGGAAGTTCCGCGTTGGTTTATGCTGTGAGCGATTAGCGTTTTATAGAACGAATTGTTAAATAAAATGTTTTTTTTATTTTTAAAGTACATATTAATCTTTTTCTTCTAGTGCCATCTTCGTTAAGGCAATTTGAACCTTATGCACAACAATTTTAAGCAACGC